TCAGCTAAAAAAATGCTCTTACTGCTGTTTGTTTTGAACGAAAGTCTGATTTAAATGAATGTGTTGTGATAAAAAAGGCTTTTTGTTGCCTTGTAAACATGCTTTTTGTGTTAAAGCAATGTGACTTTTCCAGCCTGAGGGGAGTGGGCAACAAAAGCGCTAAACCTCTTATTGCTGCTCAGATTTTACTGCATTAGCAGGTTAAATGGACCCTGAAAAAGGATCTAAAGCAGCACTCAGCTCATGGCGACATTACTGATCACAGCTTAAAAATGACAATATTGGTTTTCAATGCAAAGCAGGCTGCTGGATGCTTAAATACTTGTATCAGAAGTAAAATCTGCATTTTTGTCAAATGCTTTTCCTCCATTTCACATTACTATAACTCTTATTACACTAACTTAAAGGGACTTTACGGAGTTTTGAATTTTTATGCTCGCGATTGGCCCCTCAGGCCAAAAGCGTAACGGCAGCTTCAATAGTAGGCTCGTGCACGAGGCGCGCATGCTGTACGTGCACACTCCTTAACGAAAAAAACAGCTGAGACAGTCCCGTGTGTGTGTGTGTGTGTGTGTGTGTGTGTGTGTGTGTGGCCCGGAGGACAGAGGAAAGGAGAACGCGCAGCTAATTAATTAAATAATTAGGTTCTGTACCTTTCTCTTCAGCACAGCCGACAAAGGTTTATGATGGGTCAGTCCTCCTGCATGCTCAGATCATTCCCTTCCCTTGCTTGAAAAATTGTTCCAAAATGAAAGTTGAACCCACATCTTTTTTATCTGTGAATTCAATGCCATTCGGCGAGTCTCAAATAAAAATTTGGGCATCTTACTGTAAAAAAAAATATACCATTAATGTAAAAAAAAACAACTCTAAATAAACTATGTTCACATCCAGAATCAAACCCAGGTCTTCTGCATGAGAGTCAGACATCTTACAAGGTGAGCTAAGCTCTAGTAACATTCACAGTATCTGTAACTTTTATATCCTTGATGACAGCTGAAACAACGTCAAACCAAAGAACAGTTCGAAGCGAAAATGGCTATTTTGTTGATAATTTGCAGGAAATATCTAGAAGAAAGTTCTACAGAAAGTAGCTAAGGGTCCTCAGAAATGTAGCTAGGTTCGTCACTAGGCATTAGGAACAGCGATAAAGTCGCTGAGTTGGCACTACCTCTCTCTCTGCTGCTAAAGCTACTGATAGCAAGTGCTACGGGCGATGCGTGAGCGTGAACGCGCATGAAGCAGCCTGCTCGACCCGAGCAGCTCTTTTTCTGTGATTTTACAGAAAAACAGGCAATCACAGTAAAAATGCCAGGGCTCATTCTACAGAACCAGGGCATTGCAGGAGAATGTATGAAGAAGACATTTATTATTTCTATACATGTTTTGGCTGTCAAACTTCCATAATGCCCCTTTAATAAAAATCACAAAAGCCGAAAAAATACTTATTTTACTGTTGAAGGTGGAGTTATTGATATTTATTTATGGAGAAAGAAGAAGATAAAAAAATAAAAATTTTATCAAACAAATTTACATGAAATATAATAAACTAATTCCATGTCCAACATGGACATATTTGACTTGCATGCTGAATATTAAAGGTGACATATTTAGCCTTTTATTCCTAAGTTTTGATAGTTCTATGGTCGAAACTAAACATGTTCATGTAGTTCTATGCACAACATCCCTCTTGCATGAAGTGCTACCAGGCAGTTTTATTCTTGACATTTTCAGTACCTTCCAGAATGGGCTGTTTCAGGTTCCCTTCATTTTAAAACCACTTTCACACCGGGTTCACATCTGGGTAGCCTATTTTTTTTCTTTTTCCTGGTCATTTTATTGGCCCTCTTCCCATGGTGGTCTGCTATGGACAGAAATGTCCCAACACACTCACTGCTGGCTCATATTCATGCCTATCATTAGGGGAAGCCTCAGATTGGCATAAAATCAGCCAGTGTGGGCTTCCCGCATGTGCTATTCATTATTACTCTGGATACTGAGGAGTAAACATCTCCACTGTCTGAAGCAGCCTCTGTCTCTCTCACTGAGACGTGCTGTGAGGAGCACACGCATGATCACGTGACCGTCAAAGCTGCAGGATCAGTTATGTAACTGTTTTTTACATCTGGGGTTCCCCCCCGTGTTATGGCGATGGCAAAAGCCAGCGCGGGGAAGGGGGGGTGAGGTGTACCGCCCAGAGCCAAGCCCAACTCCACAGCTGACAGAGCTGCATGTCCAGGTTATTTTCCGTTTTATGTTTCCACACAGCGCTGCTAGAACCGATAATAATGGCACCATAGGTGAGCCTGGGACAGAGAGAAATAATGTAGTTGAGTAAGGGAGAGAAAGAATCCTCCCACATCGGAGCAGGTTCAGGCTGATTTCTAAAGCTTGGTTTATGCTTCATCAGCACGAGTGCATTGTCGCGCACCTTAGTTGACTTGAAAGCTCAACTTCTCTTTTAAAAATGGTTTGAATGTTTCTGATGGCACACGTTAGTTCAAAAAAGCTAAGGTGTCAGAATGCGTGCGTCTCTCTCACGGAACTGACATTAGTGAGGAAAAACTATCAGACGGCTTCGACAAACGTGCAGCCAGCCTGCTTTGGTAATGCAGGGAAAACAGTGTGCATTTTTAATACATTTAAAAGCTATTTCTACCAACAAATTTCCTCCATGCATTTTTGGAGTAGAACATGTTTTTATAAAGCTCCTCTCCCGATAAAAATCACAAGCACAAGTTGCTTCACTAACACATAAAAAAAAATTAAAAAAATATAATAATGGGAGAAAATATTAATAGCTTTAACTGTTTTTATTGTATGACTAAATAGTAAATATTAACGTGAATGATTTGTTGTACTAGATTACAATCTAGACCATCTTTTCACTTAATCTACAGGATGGCTTGGCAGGCTACTGTTGGACCTTTGTTTGCAGAAAATCGTGAATTGAACCGAAATTACAATTTCTGCTGGAAAAATTGCAATTCAATCATTTCCTAAAATCGTTCAGCCCTAGTCTGGATGCAATATCAAAGTCAGAAACTCCAAAAGCAACACTGCTCACGGTCATCTTTTTTTAATTTACGGGAGACACCACAAACTTTTCCACGTCTTTTACTCCGCCCATGTGCTTGGAGAGTTCCGCGTTCCTGAAAGGTGTGTGTGAACAAACCCCACTGGTGCGGGACCTGGACCCACCCAGACTAGGCCAGATTTGGAAACGGCAGAAGAAAACAGGCTGGCCACACCCACCCATTCTTTGCTCAGGCTGCTATAAGCTGAGAAGCTCTTATAGCTGGGAGGGGCTCAGAGTAGAGCCGCTGCTCCTCCAGCAGCAGCTGTCTCTTGCACGTAAGAGTGATTTTGTACTAACATCCCCAATTGTGACATCACAAATGGAGGCTTTTTAAAACAGCTTTTTAAAGCACATACTTCCTAAAACCAAACACTTACAGAAAACAGATGGATGTTTTTTTATCACCTTTGGAGTGTTTGTCAATGTAGTAGAGATTTGTACGGTAAGCCAAAATGGTGCAAAAGATGAGTTTTGCATAACATGTCCCCTTTAAGCATACATTTTTAGAATTTTAAGCACATAACTAGTAAGATCATAATTTCATGTAATGTTACCTTGGCTGCATTGGCTCTGTAGACCTTAGTTTATAGTGTGTGTGTGTGTGTGTGTGTGTGTGTGTGTGTGTGTGTGTGTGTGTGTGTGTGTGTGTGTGTGTGTGTGTGTGTGTGTGTGCTTTTAAATGAAAAAAAAAGTATCCAAATAATCATCAAGTGACTCATTAGACTCATTTATGTGAAAACTAGCTATTGGAGGCTGCAGGGTAAAAATATTTGTAAAAAAAAAAAAATAGTTCAGGTATTTATACTTCTGCTGACATATTTCTTGGTACCAGTGTCTGCGTTGTGTGTTCAAACCCTTCAGCTTTAAGTGCAAAATAAAGTTCTACATCTCCCACCTCAACTCAACACCACGCACTTCCCAGCAGCCACAAACATGAAACCATGTTGGTGGCGCTGTGAAACTAATACCTCTGCCACAGTGTCACCTTTCATTATGTTTCCACTCAATCTGTCATGATGAGTTTACACCCAGGATGGGGTGGGGTGTGTAAGGGGGGGATCAATGGGTCACAGTCTCAGACACATGACCCAGATTTCAGGTCCCGTTGAAATGTCAGGAGGTGAAGCGGGGTCACGCTGGGTTGGTGTCAGCCAGTAAGCACGTGTTAGCAATGCCATGACTGCTTCAAAATGAGCCTAACTGCTATTACTGAACGGGGGGGTATCTTGAAGGTTCACTGGGTGCATGTGGTGAGGACAGAGTTCAGCAGAGAGAAGAAGCTTCTTTTCTTCAGTGATGACTGAGGCTTGCTAAATCTTTTACTGTACAGAGGCTCTTAAATACTTATAATAGGATTATAATTAAATCAAACGGATTATAGGTCTAAATAATTATATTTTATATAATGAAAACAGACAAAATCCAAGTTTTGGGTTTCCTTTTTTCTTAAAAACACACAACACTCCCGGCCCTACATTTACGTTAAACTGCATCAAACAAGAAACTCCAGGAGCAGCACGATTAATGGCCTGTGTATCCTGCACAGGTAAGTATTAACCAACAGAGTAATAGTCATGGCGGAGACATTTCTCCGTCCTCAAACACTGTTGATGCCATCTCCTCTTGTGCAACTCACCCCAGCACCTTGTTGTTGTTTTTTTCCTAGGCAAACTTAAATTTCCTGAAGACAAGTGAGAGAGGCTTAGATTGTTTGGATGGTGTGTGGGAGGAAACAGGAAGGATTGTGCATTTATTGCTGCAACACAAAACAAACAAGTCCTTGGGCTTGTTTCAGGAAACTGTTGTAATTTCATATTCAGAATATTTTTCTCCTTCCAACAAGCTAAAATGAATTTTCTGGTTTTTGGTAAGTAACAAGAAGGAGTGGGTATATTCTTCTAAAAGTGCTGATGATTCTTACCTTGGACACTCTCTGGGCCACCTCCCGGCCAACAGAAAGCCCTTGGACGAACGTGCGTGCAGCGATGAATGCACGGGTAATCTGAGCCTTGAGCTTCCTGGGCACGTCTCCAAAGGGCTTGAGCTGGTCGATGTACTTACTGATGCACTCCAGATAGTCCTCAGTGATGACATACTGGGAGTTGAGCAGCGTGAACATGCGCTCCAGCAGCCGCGACCAGAAGTCGTTAAGCATTTCCTCCAGATTGACGTTCCCTCCTGTGTAATAGCGCTTCAGCTCGGAGAAGAGGTTCTCAAAGACTTCAGCGTTCTGCATGTAAGGCTTCCCATAAGTCCTCACAAACATCTCGTTCAGAGACCTCTCCGTGTTCTCCAGCAGGTCCAGGAAGAACTCTGAGTCAAAGAAAAGAAAATGAATAAAGATAAAGATGCACTTGAATTATTTGATAGATTAAATGCAGTAAAAAGAAGAGCTTAAGTTGTTTATTTACTTCTCTTATATCAGACAATGGAAGTCAGGCTTTATGTATGGAAGGCAATATGTCCTTTGTTTGCAGTGTTTAGCCCATATCTCACCTGTTGGCCCCAAATACCTTCCAGCACCTTGGTGGAAAAGAATTTTTTTGCAGAGTAAAGTCCTTTAATCATGTGAGCTGGAGTCACAAACATGTCACTAAATGTCACATAAAAGAGCAGAAACCATAATTAAGTTTAGTCTGTGGCATTTGCTGCTTTTCTGCATGCGTTTTATTGCACAAACAAAAGGCAGATATTTTAAGCCATAAGATTATGACCACTGAAGTGCAGCTGTGAATATGTTTAAACGTATTGCTTTACATAAAAAACATTATTAAAATCGAATTTAAGTGCATAGATAAATTGACAGTATTTTTATTTGGCTTTTTCATGTGTCTTTTTTTTATTTTTCACCTGTGAAACCAACAAGAAACCCATCTTCAGTGGTTTTTACCCAGAATTTATTCTCTGGTTTCTGGTTTTCTTGTTTGCTGCTCTCCCACCATACCTGGTCCTATATCTGTAGATGTTACACCTGCTTGTTCCTCTCACTATATACAGTCCCAAGTATTCCTGTCACACTCGTGTCTTTGTTCTGCTACAGGTTCTTGTTTCTATGCTCAGCTTTCCTAACTTTGATGCATGTTTGCATAAAACCTAGTTTATTATTCACTTCATCTGCTTTTAGGTTTTCTACAATTATAAACACACAACACCTCCGTCCTAACAAAAACCACACCAAGAGGGGAAGAATGCAACTTCAATGTGCGACGTGAAAAGGACGACGGATACAAATCCACACTTGTGATCAGCTCCATCATTGGCTCAGAGGAGTTTCAGCAGCGGATCTACTTTAGCCAGCCCATTACGCCTCTCTACTTTCACACGACACCGGTGCACAACGACAAGTCAGACCTGGCTTGAGAGTCGATGTGTGAGAAAGGCTGGAGAGTATAACCGAGGAAGGTTAGCGATCAGTGTTTGAGTGGGTGGTACACATCACGCCAAAAACCAGTGTTAATCTCTGAGATTATCTCTCACCTAAAATCAGATTCTGTCACCAACTCCTAGTAGACAAAGTATGTCTACAGTAAAATGATGTTCATCTATCCTTCTCTTGTGCCTTCCAGCAAGCAGTTGTCTCCATCAATCACACGTAGACAGAGTACAGTCGAGAATTAAATCCGCACCTCTTTTTTCTAAGCGAGAACGTTCTCAGAGCACTTGACGGGAATGAGGGTCACATCTCGACCCCACATGAGCAATGTGCATTACAGGCAATCATCATAATAGCCCGGACAAAAGTGTAATGGATTTAAAGTGGTCGTTAGTTCTGAGCCATGCAGGTGAAGTTACAGATTATAGCCGCAGTAGAGAAGGAAAAAAAAAAGATTTGATTCTCAATGATATCACAGAAAGTCACACCTGATGAGAGGCGCACGTTGGAGGAAAGCAAGAAAAATATCCCTCATTTTCAAAGCCACACGGCGCTTAAAACATTATTTTTAAAATAGATGCTAACGTGATTGAGACAAATGTATTTTTAGCGGCAGCCAGCGGGAAACATAACTCACTTTATATTAAAGTGGAAGGTAAAGATTTCAAACCAGTACACATCCGGTCGGCACAAAACTGCCTTCGATTTATCGCGCCGCTTTGTGTTTGAAAAGAACTTGCTTTCTTATCACAATTAATTAATGTCAATTCACACCTCTTATCAGTGTTATACCAGCTATAGTTCCCCAGAGGGAAGCTGATAAAATTAGATTACCTTCACTTACACTTTTATGTCTATCATCAGACGATCGATCTTTTTCTTTTCCGCGTGCGGCACGATGTAGGCCAAAGTTGTTTTTTTCTGCCTTTTGAAACTGTATGAAAAATCCTTACTGTGAGCAGATATTATTAAATATGCCAGATTCTGAGTGAGATTTTTACCCAGGTGACTTGTTTTCCTAAATGAGAGCAGTCAGCGGCGCTGGATGATGAGCGTCATGATTAATGGCAGCTTCAGAGGTGGTTTAACTTAAAGAAAGAACTAAAACGTATCGTTTTAAGTCTCGGCGCAGTAATGTTGAGATGAGATGCATTAGCAAACAACCAGTGTAACATGTTCCTTAAACTGTGATTTGGGGCTCTGCTTTGGAGCGATTAGGGTGAGTAATTATTGCACATTAGGGCTGGCCTGACAGAAAATGAAAGAATAAGTAACAGAGGCATCACAACTAAATTAATGAGCAGCTGAATCATGTTCTCATTTAAATAAATAAAAAATCCTGAGCTTTCATGAATCTTTAAAACATTAAGAAGTTTGATTAAACGAACCCTTCCGAGAGCTACCAACAGAAAATCAAACTGCGACAACCTAACTTGCATAACTTTCACCAACAAACCTCCGTTCGGCTCAGACTCCTGACTGTGTACACAAGGCTTAGCCGAGGTTACAGAGAGTTTCTTTCTTTGTGATGGAAAGAAGAAAAAGAGTCTTTTTTTTTGTGCTTCTGCAGAAATCTATTGATGGATGTTTTCTGTGATTTCAAAGACGTCTGCAGCCTGTTTCAACTATCTTGAAATGCAACGCTCCCCGTTTTGAATTTTTGAGTTAGCTGATGGATAAGGCAAGTTTTGCAAATTTAGTTCATGATGAGAGTGTGTCTGGAAAAGAGAGTGTGAACCTGATTAACACAATCAACCAGGAAACTGTCGATGTGATGGCTTCTACTGAATCTCGTGGGAAGTGGCCTGCAGAATTAATTACTGAAGTCTCCTGAACTGTGACCGGCCGACTAAGACGGATAATGTCGTTCAGCCTGCAAATTAATGATGGAAAATAAAAATTTTACATAAATGTATTTTTTGCTCTATCAAAAGTAAATCAGAAGTAATCAGGCTGTATTCAATAAATGTAAATTATCATGCTTTATTTATTACAGGATAAATGTGGGAGGAATTTTACGAAAATACAGCTTGATTTGAAATCCAGATGGATCGAAAGTAACTTATAATATCAGTTTTATCTGAATTTGCCAAATAAAATGTTTAATTGAAAGCATTGTATTTATTTCTAACAAGATAATTTCTAAAATATATTTTGAAGGATAACTCAAAATCTAATGTCAGCTCTTGAGAGATCTAACCTAAAAAATTACATGTTTTAAGAAATCAATTGCATAAAAAAAATATCAAACATGATAACCATAAATCACCATATGTTGCCTGACAGCAAACTTAACAAGAGGCATGAAGACACACACCAAAAATAAGCCTCAGAGTATTATTTGCCGTGCAGAAAAAAATCATTTAAATGCTTGAATTTAGAGAGGCATAAAACTCTAATGGTCACAGATGTTTTTATAGTATTTTATGTGGGAGATTTGACAAGTTTAAATACACTTCACTCAGTTTGGAAGAGAAAATAAGTAAAGCCTAAAGCAGCTTATAGGTGTGCACTGCCTGTACCCATGAGGGGATTAAGGCGAAAACCAGCATTGAGACACTGAGTGAAAAATGACAAAAAATCCCATGCTTTGGGTAAAATAAAATAAAGTAAAAAAAGATAAATCCCCCCCCCCCCCCCCCCCCCACACACACACACACACACAAAAGGAAAACTTAAACAGTGTTTACGTAAAAGAATGAAATACAATAGGATGCAAGATTGTTTACGTAAAGTTTAACATTTTGGGATCTGATGATGTTTCTGCTGTGAAGTCAACATGAGCTTATGAATACAAAAAAGGGGAACATGTTTTTCTCACCATGCAAAAATGTCTGTTGTCCATTTCTTTCTCATGTTTTGCTAATTTAATCAGCTTCTTGTAGGTTTTATGACTGCCAAAAGTCATGGCACACAAATCCAGATTTAATTGCATATTTCCATGTATAACTTGTGAAAACCGACACATTTTCACACAGAATTACAAACATAAAAGCAAAGATGCATCAATTCTCCTTCATCAAAACTGTTAATGAGACTTTACATATAAACATTTGCACATGTTCATTGTCTGAGATGACCGTTTTTTATTAGATTTGGTTTGAATGAGCTTCTATTGTTGCCATGGTTTAGTGAGTCGAGTGGATGTTCTTCAAGCAGAGACTCGATCTATATCCCCTCCACGTGTTCAGACGACCTTGAGCAGGATATTAAATATATATAAAACATGTGGCATGTGGTGTGTGCGATTAAAACAAGCTGGAAAAAAATGTGTATGTGTAAAAAGGTGAATCACTTTAGTGTGCACTAAGTAGAGAGTACAGATGACTAAGGCCATGAACACACATACTGTAGCTGAGTTTTGTAAACCGAACATCTTCCCACGCTCATCTATTACCTACCCACCACCTTGTTTTCAGCAAATAAATCCAGTGGACTATGAAGAACATTCATTAGTATGTCAAGCCTGTAGGTGGCAGTAGTTCCCCAAATCTTCAGCGTCTTTTTCAAAAATCATACCTTGAACATGGACTGTGGGCAATAATCCTTAACATCGTCCTTCGCCTGTGGTCTTCTACTTAGAGCAGTAATAGAGCTTGAGCACATAGGTTGCACATGTGATAGATCATTTTTGTTGTGGGCAGTGACCAGTGTTGGGAGTAACATGGTACAAAAGTAATGAATTACTTTTAATTAATTACATTGCTTTTGCTGTAATGTGGTAATGTAAGGCATTACAGGGAAAGAAAATGGTAATATTTACACAGCACAACTGTCAGTAACGCGGTCATTACAGTGCATTTTCAAACCCAGAATCAAGATGTGGGTTTCTTAAAATTTCTAATTGCGGCAAGCCCGAAAAAAGATCCCGTATCTACATAAATTACGTCATTTATGGACACAGCTTTGCGGGCATTCTATGAGCAGAGAGGATGCAGCA